TTCCACCCCAGCCCCATAGAGCCCTATAGGCCCCCCCCCTCCCCCCAGAGGCCTCCGCGGCCCCAGTACGGGCCCTATAGAGACCCGTAGGCAGCATAGCGCCCCATAGAGCCCATAGTGCCCCATAAGAGCCCCCATAGCGCCCTATAGCCCCCCATAAGAGCCCCATAAGACCCCCATAGAGCCCCACAGCGCCTCACAGAGCCCCATAGAGTCCCCACAGCGCTCCACAGAGCCACAGAGCCCCATAGCCCCCCATGAGCCCCATAGCACCCCACAGCCCCCCATAAGAGCCCTATAGAGCCCCATAGCCCCATAAGAGCCCCACAGACCCCCATAGAGCCCATAGAGCCCCATAGCCCCCCATAAGAGCCCCACAGACCCCCACAGCACCCCATAGACCCCCACAGCGCTCCACAGCCCCCCAGAAGAGCCCCATAGCGCTCCATAGCGCCTCATAGCCCCCCATAGAGCCCCATTGAGCCCCATAGCGCCTCATAGAGCCCTATAGCGCCCTACAGAGCCCCATAGCCCCCCATAGAGCCCCACTGAGCCCCATAGCGCTCCATAGCGCCTCATAGAGCCCCATAGGCCCCTTAGAGCCCCATTGAGCCCCATAGCGCCTCATAGAGCCCACTAGAGCCCCATAGCCCCCCATAGAGCCCCATGGAGCCCCATAGCGCCCCACATCCCCGTCACCTCCATGATGCAGTTCCCCGCCGCCGCCTCCGCCATCTTGTCCGCTGCCCCCCCCCCGGCCCGGGCCGCGCTCCTTTTATAGCGTGGGCGGAGCCGGGCCCGCCCCCTCCGCGCCTCCCCATTGGCCGCCGCTTCCCCGCCGCGCGCCGCCATTGGCCCGGCGCTGGCGTCCATCAACGAGCGAAACCCCGCCCATGGCGAGGGGAGGGGGGGAAGGAAGAGCGCCGCCTAGCGGCTCGGAGGACCCCCCCCCCCCCCCTTGAGCCCCATAGATAAAGCGCAGCCCAATGGGTTTCTATGGGGCGTTTATTGAACGTGGGGGGCGCCCCCCAAGTGTGGGGCGGGGGGGTCACCAGGAGGGGGCCCCGAAGCGCGCCACGAGCGCCTGCTGAGCGTCCAGGTCCTTCTGCACCTTGCGCCGCATGTAAAATATGGGGCAGTCCCGGCTGGGGGGAGGGATCAATGGGGGTCAGGGGGGGTGGGGGTCAATGGGGGTCAGTGGGGATCAATGGGGTCAGGGGGGTGGGGGTCAATGGGGGTCAGTGGGGATCAATGGGGGTCAGGGGGGGTGGGGGTCAATGGGGGTCAGTAGGGGATGGGGGGAATGGGGGGATGGGGGAGGGGGGATGGGGGGGTGGGGATGGGGGGCATGGGGGGATTGGGGGACAATGGGGATCAATGGGGTAATGGGGGGGAGGGGGGTCAGGGGGGGATGGGGGCCAATGGGGGTCAATGGGGGAGAGGGGGAGGGGGGGATGGGGGGACAATGGGGGGATGGGCGGGATGGGGGTCGGGGGGGGATGGGGGGTGGGGATGGGGGGCATGGGGGGGAGGGGGGGGATTGGGGGACAATGGGGGGATGGGGGGGTGGGGATGGGGGGCATGGGGGGAGGGGGGGATTGGGGGACAATGGGGATCAATGGGGGGAATGGGGGTCAGGGGGGATGGGGGCCAATGGGGGTCAATGGGGGGAGGCAGTTGGGGGGGGATGGGGGAGAGGGGGTCAGTGGGGGATGGGGATTAATGGGGGTTAATGGGGGGAGGGGGTCGGGGGGGATGGGGGGTGGGGGTCAGTGGGGGGGATGGGGGGAATGGGGATTAATGGGGTAATGGGGGGGAGGGGGGCCAATGGGCGGGATGGGAATGGGGGGATGGGGGTCAGTGGGGGATGGGGGGAATGGGGGGACAATGGGGAGGATGGGGGATAGGCATTAATGGGGTAATTGGGGGGGATGGGGATAGGGGGATGTCAGTGGGGCTTAATGGCTCAATGGGCTCAGTGGGGCTCAAGGGGACTGAATGGGCTCAATGGGGCTCTGTGGGGCTCTATGGGCTCTATGGGGCTGTATGGGGCTCTATGGGGCTGTATGGGCTCTATGGGCTCTATGTGTGCTATGGGTCTCTATGTGCGCTATGGGGCTCTCTGGGTCTCAATGGGCTCTCTGGGTCTCTATGGGGCTCTCTGGGTCTCAATGAGCTCTATGGGTCTCTATGGGGCTCTATGGGTCTCAATGGGTCTCTATGGGTCTCTATGGGTCTCTATGGTCTCTATGGGTCTCTATGGGTCTCTATGTGTCTCTATGGGTCTCTATGGGTCTCTATGGGTCTCTATGGGTCTCTATGGTCTCTATGGGTCTCTATGGGTCTCTATGTGTCTCTATGGGTCTCTATGGGTCTCTATGGTCTCTATGTGTCTCTATGGGTCTCAATGGTCTCTATGGGTCTCTATGGGTCTCTATGGGTCTCTATAGGTCTCTATGGGTCTCTATGGGTCTCAATGGTCTCTCTGGGTCGGTAGGGGCGCACCTGGTGCACAGCACGTCCTGGTGCAGGGCGCTCTGGCACCGCTGGCACTGGCTCCAGAGGCGGGAGAAGCGCTGCTCCAGCGCCGCCAGCGCCCCCACCTGGCGCGGAGGGCACTGAGACCCCACGGACCCCATAGCCCCCCCATAGACCCCATGGACCCCCCATAGACCCCATGGACCCCCCCATAGCCCCCCCATAGACCCCATGGACCCCCCCATAGACCCCCCCATAGACCCCCTATAGACCCCATAGCCCCCCATAGACCCCCAATAGGCCCCATAGACCCCTCCCCAGATCCCATAGCCCCCCCATAGCCCCCATAGCCCCCGTAGACCCCACAGCCCCCCCTATAGACCCCCATAGACCCCATGGACCCCACCACAGCCCCCCCTATAGACCCCCCATAGACCCCATGGACCCCCCCATAGCCCCCCCCATAGACCCCCTGTAGACCCCCCATAGCCCCCACAGACCCTCCTACAGACCCACTGACCCCATAGACCCCCCCATAGACCCCATGGACCCCCCCATAGACCCCATGGTCCCCCCTAGACCCCATAGACCCCCCTATAGACCCCCATAGCCCCCCTACAGACCCCCCCATAGACCCCATGGACCCCTATAGACCCCACAGACCCCCCTATAGACCCCTCTATAGACCCCATAGACTCCCCCATAGACCCCACAGACCCCCCTATAGACCCCTCTATAGACCCCATAGACTCCCCATAGACCCCATGGACCCCCCTATAGACCTCATAGACCCCCTGCAGACGCCCCTATAGACCCCATAGACCCCCCATAGCCCCCTATAGACCCCACATAGACCCCATAGCCCCCCCCCCCATCACCTCCTTCTGGTAGAGCTCAGCCTCGCGCTGGCGGCAGAAATCACAGACGGCTCCTGGGGGGGGGAGACAATGGGGGCAGTTATGGGGCAATGGGGGGCAGCTATGGGGCAATGGGGGCAGTTATGGGGCAATGGGGGCAGCTATGGGGCAATGGGGGGCAGTTATGGGGCAATGGGGGGCAGCTATGGGGCAATGGGGGGCAGTTATGGGGCAATGGGGGGCAGCTATGGGGTAATGGGGCAGTTATGGGGCAATGGGGGGCAGTTATGGGGCAATGGGGGGCAGCTATGGGGCAATGGGGGGCAGTTATGGGGCAATGGGGGGCAGCTATGGGGTAATGGGGCAGTTATGGGGCAATGGGGGGGCAGTTATGGGGCAATGGGGGGCAGCTATGGGGCAATGGGGCAGTGGGGCAGTTATGGGGCAGTGGGGCAGTTATGGGGCAATGGGGCAGTTATGGGGCAATGGGGGGCAGCTATGGGGCAATGGGGGGCAGTTATGGGGCAATGGGGGGCAGTTATGGGGCAATGGGGGGCAGCTATGGGGCAATGGGGGGCAGTTATGGGGCAATGGGGGGCAGCTATGGGGCAATGGGGGGCAGTTATGGGGCAATGGGGGGCAGCTATGGGGCAATGGGGGGCAGTTATGGGGCAATGGGGGGCAGCTATGGGGTAATGGGGCAGTTATGGGGCAATGGGGGGGCAGTTATGGGGCAATGGGGGGCAGCTATGGGGCAATGGGGCAGTTATGAGACAGTTATGGGGCAATGGGGGGCAGTTATGGGGCAATGGGGCAGTTATGGGGCAATGGGGGGCAGTTATGGGGCAATGGGGGGCAGCTACAGGGCAACGGGGCAGTTATGGGGCAATGGGGGCAGTTATGGGGCAATGGTGCAGTTATGGGGTAATGGGGCAGTTACGGGGCAATGGGGCAGTTATGGGGCAATGGGGGGCAGTTATGGGGTAATGGGGCAGTTATGGGGCAATAAGCAGCAATAGGGGGAAGTTATGGGGCAATAAAGGGCAATGGGAGACAGTTATGGGGCAATGGGGGAAAATAAGGGGCAGTGGAGGGAAATAAGGGGCAGGCCTAGGGCAATAAGGGGCAATGGGGGCAGTTATGGGGCAATGGGGGGCAGTTATGGGGCAGTTATGGGGTAATGGGGCAGTTACGGGGCAATGGGGGCGGTTATGGGGCAATAAGCAGCAATAGGGGGAAGTTATGGGGCAATAAAGGGCAATGGGAGACAGTTATGGGGCAATGGGGGAAAATAAGGGGCAGTGGAGGGAAATAAGGGGCAGGTATAGGGCAATAAGGGGCAAAGGGGGCAGTTATGGGGCAATGGGGGCAAACAAGCAGCAATGGGGGGCAGGTATAGGGCAATAAGGGGCAATGGGGAGCAATGGGGGCAATAAAGGGGCAATGGGGGCAGCTATGGGGCAATGGGGGCAATGGGGAGCAATGGGGGCAATAAAGGGGCAATGGGGGCAGCTATGGGGCAATGGGGGCAATAAGGGGCAATAAAGGGGCAATGGGGGACAGCTATGGGGCAATGGGGGCAATAAAGGGGCAATGGGGACAGCTATGGGGCAATGGGGGCAATAAAGGGGCAATGGGGGGCAGCTATGGGGCAATGGGGGCAGCTATGGGGCGATGTGGGGCAATGGGACGCTCCCATTGTTCCCTATGGGGGGGTTCCCCTGCCCCATCCCATGACCCCCAATGGGCAGCGCTCAGCGGCTCCCCCTAACGTTGCTCTATGGCACAGCCCCAGCCGGGACGCTCCCATTGCTCCCTATGGGGGGAACCCGGCCCCCCCCTCACCCTGCCGCTGTAGTACGGCCCGGCAGCCCACGCACGTGCTGCGCCGCGTGGCGAAGGCCAAGACCCCGCCCCCGACCTGCGCCGTCAGCAGCGTCTTAGAGCGGGTGTGAGCGCCCCCTGCGGGACAGGCGGGGAAACCCCGCGGTCAGGGGGGGGATAAAGTTGCGGGACAGGCGGGGAAACCCCGCGGTCAGGGGGGGGATAAAGGGGGGGACCCCCCCCCAATGAGCCCCCCCCATTGGGGTATAAAGGGGGAACCCCCCCATTGGGGTATAAAGGTATAAAGGGACCCCCCCAATGAGCCCCCCCATTGAGTTATAAAGGGGGGCCCCCCATTGGGTTATAAAGGGAACCCCCCCAATGAGCCCCCCATAGGGTTATAAAGGGGGGACCCCCCCATTGGGTTATAAAAGGGACCCCCAATGACCCCCCCATTGGGTTATAAAGGGGGAACCCCCCAATTGGGGTCAATGGGGAGACCCCATTGAGTTATAAAGGGGGGGCCCCCCATTGGGTTATAAAGGGGACCCCCCCAATGGGTTAGAAAGGGGACCCCCCAATGACCCCCCCATTGGGATATAAAGGGGACCCCCCATTGGGTTCAGTGGGGGCCCCCCAATGACCCCCTCCATTGGGATATAAAGGGGACCCCCCCGATGACCCCCCCATTGGGTTATAAAGGGGACCCCCCCAATGAGTTATAAAGGGGACCCCCCCAATGACCCCCCATTGGGTTATAAAGGGGACCCCCCCAATGACCCCCCCATTGAGTTATAAAGGGGACCCCCAATGAGCCCCCCCATAGGGTTATAAAGGGGACTCCCCCATTGGGTTATAAAGGAGACCCCCCCAATGAGCCCCCCATTGGGGTATAAAGGGGACCCCCCGATGACCCCCCCATTGGGTTATAAAGGGGACCCCCCCTTGGGTTCAGTGGGGGCCCCCCAATGACCCCTCCATTGGGGTCAATGGGGACCCCCCCACATTAGGCTATAAATGGGGACCCCCTAAAGGGAGATTTGGGTCAGATTTGGGGCACTTGGGGTCAGTTTGGGGCTGGTTTTGGGGTGTTTCAGGTCAATTTGGGGGCGTTTTGGGGTATTTTGATCGGTTTTGGGGTGTTTCAGGTCAGTTTTGGGGTGTTTGGTCAGTTTTGGGGTGTTTTGGTCAGTTTTGGGGTATTTTGGTCAGTTTTGGGGTGTTTTGGACTGGTTTTGGGGTATTTTGGTCAGTTTTGGGGTGTTTTGGTCAGTTTTGGGGTGTTTTGGACTGGTTTTGGGGTATTTTGGTCAGTTTTGGGGTGTTTTGGACTGGTTTTGGGGTATTTTGGTCAGTTTTGGGGTGTTTTGGTCAGTTTTGGGGTATTTTGGTCAGTTTTGGGGTGTTTTGGTCAGTTTTGGGGTATTTTGGTCAGTTTTGGGGTGTTTTGGTCAGTTTTGGGGTATTTTGGTCAGTTTTGGGGTGTTTTGGTCAGTTTTGGGGTATTTTGGTCAGTTTTGGGGCATTTTGGTCAGTTTTGGGGTATTTTGGTCAGTTTTGGGCTGTTTTTGGGGTATTTTTGTCCGTTTTGGGGTATTTTGGTCGGTTTTGGGGTATTTTTGTCAGTTTTGGGCTGGTTTTGGGGTATTTTGGTCAGTTTTGGGGTGTTTTTGGGCTGTTTTTTGGTGTTTTGGGGCTGTTTTTTGGTGTTTTTTGGTGTTTTTGGGCTGTTTTTTTGGTGTTTTTTGGTGTTTTTGGGCTGTTTTTTGGTGTTTTTTGGTGGTTTTGGGCTGTTTTTTGGTGTTTTGGGGCTGTTTTTTGGTGTTTTTTGGTGGTTTTGGGCTGTTTCTTGGTGGTTTTGGGCTGTTTTTTTGGTGTTTTGGGGCTGTTTTTTGGTGTTTTGGTGTTTTTTGGTGTTTTTGGGGCTGTTTGTTGGTGTTTTGGGCTGTTTTTTGGTGGTTTTGGGCTGTTTTTTGGTGTTTTGGGCTGTTTTTTGGTGTTTTTTGGTGTTTTGGGGCTGTTTTTGGTGGTTTTGGGGCTGTTTTTTGGTGTTTTTTGGTGTTTTTGGGCTGGTTTTTGGTGTTTTTGGGGCTGTTTTTTGGTTGTTTTTTGGTGTTTTTGGGCTGTTTTTTGGTGTTTTTGGTGTTTTTTGTGTGTTTTGGGCTGTTTTTTGGTGTTTTTGGGCTGTTTTTTTGGTGTTTTTGTGGTTTTGGCTGTTTTTTGGTGGTTTTTGGTGTTTTTGGCTGTTTTTTGGTGTTTTGGGCTGTTTTTTGGTGTTTTTGGTGGTTTTGGGCTTGTTTTTTGGTGTTTTGGGGCTGTTTTTTGGTGTTTTTGGGCTGTTTTTTGGTGTTTTTGGTGTTTTTTGGTGTTTTGGGGCTGTTTTTTGGTGTTTTTGGGCTGTTTTGGGTCAGTTTTGGGGCTGTTTTTGGTGTTTTTGGTGTCTGTGTGCTGCGGGTGCGTTCCTGCTGCCCCCTCTCACGCAGCAGGATGCTCTCGGCGCGGCCCTCGCCCAGGATGGGCTCGAAGATGCGCAGCAGCGGCTTCCCCAGCTGCTGCTCCACGTAGTAGCGGCTGTCGATGGGCAGGTTGTGCTCCAGCGCGTACAGCGGGTCCTGCGCCCCACGGACACACACACCCATTGGGACCCATTGGGAACCATTGGGACCCATTGGGAACCATTGAGACCCATTGGGAACCATTGAGACCCATTGGGAACCATTGAGAACCATTGGCAACCATTGAGAACCATTGGGAACCATTGGGAACCATTGGGAACCATTGGGACCCATTGGGAACCATTGGGACCCATTGAGACCCATTGGGACCCATTGAGACCCATTGGGAACCACTGAGACCCATTGGGAACCATTGGGAACCACTGAGACCCATTGGGAACCATTGGGACCCATTGAGACCCATTGAGACCCATTGAGACCCATTGAGACCCATTGAGACCCATTGAGAACCATTGGGACCCACTGAGACCCATTGAGACCCATTGAGACCCATTGAGAACCATTGAGACCCATTGGGAACCATTGAGACCCATTGAGCCCCACGGACCCACTGAGACCCATTGGGACCCATTGAGACCCATTGAGACCCACTGAGACCCATTGGGACCCATTGAGACCCATTGGGAACCATTGGGACCCATTGGGACCCACTGAGACCCATTGGGACCCATTGAGACCCATTGAGACCCACTGAGACCCATTGGGACCCATTGAGACCCATTGGGAACCATGGGAACCATTGGGACCCATTGGGACCCACTGAGACCCATTGGGAACCATTGAGACCCATTGGGAACCATTGAGAACCATTGGGACCCATTGAGACCCATTGGGAACCATTGGGAACCATTGGGAACCATTGGGACCCATTGAGACCCATTGGGAACCATTGGGAACCATTGGGAACCACTGAGACCCATTGGGAACCATTGGGAACCATTGGGAACCATTGGGAACCACTGAGACCCATTGAGAACCATTGGGACCCACTGAGACCCACTGAGACCCATTGGGAACCATTGGGAACCATTGGCAACCATTGGGAACCACTGAGACCCATTGAGACCCATTGGGAACCATTGGGAACCATTGGGAACCATTGGGAACCATTGGGAACCACTGAGACCCATTGGGAACCATTGGGAACCATTGGGAACCATTGGGAACCACTGAGACCCATTGGGAACCATTGGGAACCATTGGGAACCATTGGGAACCACTGAGACCCATTGAGAACCATTGGGACCCACTGAGACCCACTGAGACCCATTGGGAACCATTGGGAACCATTGGCAACCATTGGGAACCACTGAGACCCATTGAGACCCATTGGGAACCATTGGAACCATTGGGAACCATTGGGAACCATTGGGAACCACTGAGACCCATTGGGAACCATTGGGAACCATTGGGAACCATTGGGAACCACTGAGACCCATTGGGAACCATTGGGAACCATTGGGAACCATTGGGAACCATTGAGACCCATTGGGAACCATTGGGAACCATTGGCAACCATTGGGAACCATTGGGAACCATTGGGAACCATTGGGGAACCATTGAGACCCATTGGGAACCATTGGGAACCATTGGGAACCATTGGGAACCATTGGCAACCATTGGGAACCATTGGGAACCATTGGGAACCATTGGGAACCATTGGGAACCATTGGCAACCATTGGGAACCATTGGGAACCATTGAGACCCATTGGGAACCATTGGGAACCATTGGGAACCATTGGGACCCATTGAGCCCCACGGACCCACTGAGCCCCATGGAGCCCCATTGAGACCCATGGACACACTGCCCCCTATGGGACCCACTGAGCCCCATGGGACCCACTGAGCCCCCATTGCCCCCTATGGGACCCGCTCCCCATTGCCCCCCATGGGTCCCACTCCCCATTGATCCCTATGGGTCCCACTCCCCATTGATCCCTATGGGTCCCGTTCCCCATTGATCCCCATGGGTCCCGTTCCCCATTGCCCCCCATGGGTCCCACTCCCCATTGATCCCTATGGGTCCTGCTCCCCATTGCCCCCCATGGGTCCCACTCCCCATTGATCCCTATGGGTCCCGCTCCCCCATCGCCCCCCATGGGTCCCGCTCCCCATTGATCCCCATGGGTCCCGCTCCCCATTGATCCCTATGGATCCCGCTCCCCATCGCCCCCCATGGGTCCCGCTCCCCATCGCCCCCCATGGGTCCCGCTCCCCATTGATCCCCATGGGTCCCGCTCCCCATTGATCCCTATGGATCCCGCTCCCCATCGCCCCCCATGGGTCCCGCTCCCCATTGATCCCCATGGGTCCCGCTCCCCATTGATCCCTACGGGTCCCGCTCCCCATTGATCCCTATGGGTCCCGCTCCCCATTGATCCCTATGGGTCCCGCTCCCCATTGCCCCCCATGGGTCCCGCTCCCCATTGATCCCTATGGGTCCCGCTCCCCATTGATCCCTATGGGTCCCGCTCCCCATTGCCCCCCATGGGTCCTGCTCCCCATTGATCCCTATGGGTCCCGCTCCCCATTGATCCCTATGGGTCCCGCTCCCCATTGCCCCCCATGGGTCCTGCTCCCCATTGATCCCTATGGGTCCCGCTCCCCATTACCCCCATGGGTCCTGCTCCCCATTGATCCCCATGGGTCCCGCTCCCCATTGATCCCCATGGGTCCCGCTCCCCATCACCCCCCATGGGTCCCGCTCCCCATTAATCCCTATGGGTCCCGCTCCCCATCACCCCCCATGGGTCCCGCTCCCCATTGATCCCCATGGGTCCCGCTCCCTATTGATCCCTATGGGTCCCGCTCCCCATTGATCCCCATGGGTCCCGCTCCCCATTGATCCTATGGGTCCCGCTCCCCATTGATCCCCATGGGTCCCGCTCCCCATTGCCCCCCATGGGTCCCGCTCCCCATTGATCCCCATGGGTCCCGCTCCCCATTGATCCCTACGGGTCCCGCTCCCCATTGATCCCCATGGGTCCCGCTCCCCATTGATCCCTATGGGTCCCGCTCCCCATTGATCCCTATGGGTCCCGCTCCCCATCGCCCCCCATGGGTCCCGCTCCCCATTGATCCCTACGGGTCCCGCTCCCCATTGCCCCCCATGGGTCCCGCTCCCCATTGCCCCCCATGGGTCCCGCTCCCCATTGATCCCCTTGGTCCCCGCTCCCCATCGCCCCCCATGGGTCCCGCTCCCCATTGATCCCCATGGGTCCCGCTCCCCATTGATCCCTATGGGTCCCGCTCCCCATCACCCCCCATGGGTCCCGCTCCCCATTGATCCCTATGGGTCCCGCTCCCCATTGATCCCTACGGGTCCCGCTCCCCATTGATCCCTACGGGTCCCGCTCCCCATTGATCCCTATGGGTCCCGCTCCCCATTGATCCCTATGGGACCCACCTCGGACCTGGTGTAGGCGGCCGCCCCCTTGGCCCCGGTGACGATGACGTAGGGGACGCGGTCACCCAGGGCCGGGGCGCTGCCGGGGTCCCGCTGCCGCATCCTGGGGGGCAATGGGGGGCAATGGGGGGCAGCTGTGGGGCAGCTGTGGGGGGCTATGGGGGTGTCAATGGGGATGGCAATGGGGCAATGGGGGGCAGCTGTGGGGGGCTATGGGGGCTATGGGCGGTGTCAATGGGGATGGCAATGGGGCAATGGGGGCAGCTGTGGGGGGCTATGGGGGGCTATGGGGGTGTCAATGGGGATGGCAATGGGGCAATGGGGGGCAGCTGTGGGGCAGCTGTGGGGGGCTATGGGGGGGCTATGGGGGGTGGCAATGGGGATGGCAATGGGGGGCAATGGGGGGCAGCTGTGGGGGGCTATGGGGGGCTATGGGGGGTGTCAATGGGGATGGCAATGGGCAATGGGGGGCAGCTGTGGGGCAGCTGTGGGGGGCTATGGGGGGTGTCAATGGGGATGGCAATGGGGGGCAATGGGGGGCAGCTGTGGGGGGCTATGGGGGCTATGGGGGGTGTCAATGGGGATGGCAATGGGGCAATGGGGGGCAGCTGGGGGGGGCTATGGGGGGGCTATGGGGGGCTATGGGGGGTGTCTATGGGGATGGCAATGGGGCAATGGGGGGCAGCTGTGGGGCAGCTGTGGGGCAGCTGTGGGGGTGTCTATGGGGATGGCAATGGGGCAATGGGGGGCAGCTGTGGGGGGCTATGGGGGGGCTATGGGGGGCAGCTGTGGGGCAGCTGTGGGGGGCTATGGGGGGTGTCAATGGGGATGGCAATGGGGCAATGGGGGGCTATGGGGGGTGTCTATGGGGATGGCAATTGGGGCAATGGGGGGCTATGGGGGGTGTCTATGGGGATGGCAATGGGGCTATAGGGGGCAGCTATAGGGGGGTATAGGGGGTGTCTATAGGGGGGCTATAGGGGTATCAATGGGGATGGCAATGGGGGCTATAGGGGTCTCTAGGGGGTGGCAATGGGGGCTATATGGGGCAGCTATAGGGGGGCTATAGGGGGTGTCTATAGGGATGGCCATGGGGGCTATAGGGGGTCCCTATAGGGGGTCTATAGAGGGTATCAATGGGGATGGCAATGGGGCTATAGGGGGCAGCTAGGGGGGTATAGGGAGTCTCTATAGGGGGTCTATAGGGGTATCAATGGGGATTGCAATGGGGGCTATAGGGGTGTCTATGGGGGTGCCAATGGAGGTCTATAATGGGGGTCTATAGGGGTTTATAGGGGTGGCCATAGGGGGTGTCCATAGGGGGGTGTCCATAGATATCTATGGGGCGCCTATGGGGGTGTCTATGGGGTGTCCATTGGTGTCTATGGGGTGCCTATGGGGTGTCCATTGGTGTCTATGGGGTGTCCATGGGTGCCTATGGGGTCTCTATGGGGTGTCTATGGGTGTCCATGGGGTCTCTATGGGGTGTCCATAGGTCTCTATGGGGTCTCTATGGGGTCCTATGGGGTGACTATGGGGTCTTCCCCTATGGGTGCCTCTGGGGCTCTATGGGGTGTCCATGGGGTCTCTATGGGGTCTCTATGGGGTGTCCATGGGTCCCTATGGGGTGTCCATGGGGTGTCTATGGGGTCCTATGGGGTGTCCCATGGGTCCCTATGGGGTGTCTATTATGGGGTGGCTATGGGGTCCCTATGGGGTGTCCATGGGTCCCTATGGGGTGTCTATGGGGTTTCTATGGGGTCTCTATGGGGTTTCTATGGGGTTTCTATGGGGTCCCTATGGGGTGTCCATGGGTCCCTATGGGTGTCCATGGGTGTCTATGGGGTGTCCATGGGTCCCTATGGGGTGTCTATGGGGTCTCTATGGGGTGTCTATGGGGTCCCTATGGGTGTCCATGGGGTCCCTATGGGTGTCCATGGGTCCCTATGGGTGTCCATGGGTGTCTATGGGGTGTCCATGGGTCCCTATGGGGTGTCTATGGGGTCTCTATGAGGTGTCTATGGGGTCCCTATGGGTGTCCATGGGGTCCCTATGGGGTGTCCATGGGTCCCTATGGGTGTCCATGGGTGTCTATGGGGTGTCCATGGGTCCCTATGGGGTGTCTATGGGGTCTCTATGGGGTGTCTATGGGGTCCCTATGGGTGTCCATGGGGTCCCTATGGGGTGTCCATGGGTCCCTATGGGTGTCCATGGGTGTCTATGGGGTGTCCATGGGTCCCTATGGGGTGTCTATGGGGTCTCTATGGGGTTTCTATGGGGTCCCTATGGGGTGTCCATGGGTCCCTATGGGGTCCCTATGGGGTGTCTATGGGGTCTCTATGGGGTTTCTATGGGGTCCCTATGGGGTGTCCATGGGTCCCTATGGGGTTTCTATGGGGTGTCTATGGGGTGTCCATGGGGTCCCTACGGGTCCCTATGGGGTTTCTATGGGGTCCCTATGGGGTGTCCCTGGGTCCCTATGGGGTTTCTATGGGGTCCCTATGGGGTGTCCATGGGTCCCTATGGGGTGTCCATGGGGTCCCTATGGGGTTTCTATGGGGTTTCTATGGGGTTTCTATGGGGTCCCTATGGGGTGTCTATGGGGTCTCTATGGGGTTTCTATGGGGTCCCTATGGGGTGTCCCTGGGTCCCTATGGGGTTTCTATGGGGTCCCTATGGGGTGTCCCTGGGTCCCTATGGGGTTTCTATGGGGTCCCTATGGGGTGTCCCTGGGTCCCTATGGGGCGCCCACCTCTGGGCCAGGCTGACGTGGGGCTGGGGGGCGGCGTAGTCGCGTGCGGCGCGGGTCAGCTCCTTGGTGATCACGAGCTGGGAGAGGTCCAGGCGGTCACAGAGCAGGTCCGAGATCACCTCCTGCGCGTGCAGCACCGCCCCCGCCGGGTCCCTGCCCCACAGCGACCCACGGAGCATCACTGACCCATAGCGAGCATCACTGACCCATAGAGCATCACTGACCCATAGAGCATCACTGACCCATAGCGAGCTTCACTGACCCATAGAGCATCACTGACCCACAGCAAACATCACTGACCCATAGAGCATCACTGACCCATAGAGCATCACTGACCCACAGCAAACATCACTGACCCATAGAGCATCACTGACCCATAGCGACCCACAGAGCATCACTGACCCATAGAGAGCTTCACTGACCCATAGAGAGCTTCACTGACCCATAGAGCATCACTGACCCACAGAGCATCACTGACCCATAGCGAGCATCACTGACCCATAGAGCATCACTGACCCATAGCGACCCACAGAGCATCACTGACCCATAGAGCATCACTGACCCATAGCGACCCACAGAGCATCACTGACCCATAGAGCATCACTGACCCCATAGAGCATCACTGACCCATAGAGCATCACTGACCCATAGCGACCCACAGAGCATCACTGACCATAGCGACCCACAGAGAGCATCACTGACCCATAGAGCATCACTGACCCATAGAGAGCATCACTGACCCATAGCGAGCTTCACTGACCCATAGCGACCCACAGAGCATCACTGACCCATAGAGCATCACTGACCCATAGAGAGCTTCACTGACCCATAGCGAGCATCACTGACCCATAGAGCATCACTGACCCACAGAGAGCTTCACTGACCCATAGAGAGCATCACTGACCCATAGCGAGCCATAGTGACCCACAGCAAACATCACTGACCCATAGCGAGCATCACTGACCCATAGCGAGCATCACTGACCCATAGCGAGCCATAGTGACCCACAGCAAACATCACTGACCCATAGCGAGCATCACTGACCCATAGAGCATCACTGACCCATAGCGAGCATCACTGACCCATAGCGAGCCATAGTGACCCACAGCAAACATCACTGACCCATAGCGACCCACAGAGCATCACTGACCCATAGAGCATCACTGACCCATAGAGAGCATCACTGACCCATAGCAAACATCACTGACCCATAGCGACCCACAGAGCATCACTGACCCATAGAGAGCTTCACTGACCATAGAGCATCACTGACCCATAGCGAGCATCACTGACCCATAGAGCATCACTGACCCATAGAGCATCACTGACCCATAGCGACCCACAGAGCATCACTGACCCATAGAGAGCATCACTGACCCATAGAGCATCACTGACCCATAGAGAGCATCACTGACCCATAGAGAGCATCACTGACTGACCCATAGAGAGCATCACTGACCCATAGAGCATCACTGACCCAAAGAGCATCACTGACCCATAGCGACCCACAGCGAACATCACTGCCCCACACCGCCCCCCATCTCCCCCTATCCTGCCCCACACCGCCCCCCATCTCCCCCTATCCCGCCTCATAGCACCCCCCATCTCCCCATATCCCGCTCCATAGCGCCCCCATCTCCCCATATCCTGCCCCATAGCGCCCCCCATCTCCCCCTATCCCGCCCCATAGCGCCCCCCATCTCCCCCTATCCCGCCCCATAGCACCCCCCATCTCCCCATATCCTGCCCCACACCGCCCCCCATCTCCCCCATCCCACCCCATAGTGCCCCCCTCTCCCCATATCCTGCTCCATAGCGCCCCCCATCTCCCCCTATCCCGCTCCATAGCGCACCCCATCTCCCCATATCCCGCCCCATAGCGCACCCCATCTCCCCATATCCTGCCCCATAGCGCCCCCATCTCCCCCTATCCCGCCCCATAGCGCCCTCCATCTCCCCCTATCCCGCCCCATAGCGCCCCCCACTCTCCCCTATCCCGCCCCATAGCGCCCTCCATCTCCCCCTATCCCACCCCATAGCGCCCTCCATCTCCCCCTATCCCGCCCTCCATCTCCCCATATCCTGCCCCATCCCGCCCCATAGCGCCCCCCACACTGCCCCCCATCTCTCCCCCATCCCGCCCCATAGCGCCCCCCATAGCTCCCCCCACCGGTGCAGGAGGATGCGGCGCAGACACGCCGTGACGAGGTTGGCCGCCAGGGGGCAGTTGTCCCTGCGCACCGCCTCCAGCCCCTTGCAGTCCAGCGCGGGCGCGGCCGCGGGGCCCGACGGGAAACAGAGCCCAGCGTAGCGCTTCTTGCTGATGAGCAGGTAGGGGCAGTACACCTGGGGGGCACCCCATAGAGACCATAGGGACACATAGAGATACATAGGGACCATAGGGACACATAGGGACCCATAGAGACCCATAGAGACCCCATAGGGACCATAGAGACCCATAGGGACCATAGGGACACATAGGGACCCCATAGAGACCCATAGAGACACATAGGGACCATAGGGACACATAGAGATACATAGAGACCCCATAGGGACACATAGAGACCCATAGAGACCCATAGAGACCCATAGAGACACATAGGGACCCATAGAGACCATAGAGACCCATAGAGACCCATAGAGACCCATAGAGACACATAGGGACCCATAGAGACCATAGAGACCCATAGAGACCCATAGCGACCCATAGAGACCCATAGAGACACATAGGGACCCATAGGGACACATAGAGACACATAGAGACACATAGAGACCCATAGGGACCCATAGGGACACATAGAGACCCATAGAGACCCATAGAGACCCATAGGGACCATAGGGACACATAGAGACCCATAGAGACCCATAGCGAGACCCATAGCGACTCATATCCCCCATACCCCCCATAGCGCCCCATAGCCCCCCCAGCCCCATAGCGCCCCATAGTGCCCCCAGCCCCATAGCGCCCCATATCCCCCCCCAGCCCCATAGCGCCCCATAGCCCCCCCCAGCCCCATAGCGCCCCACAGCTCCGTGCTGACCTTCTCGAACTGGAGCCGGATGGGGGCAGGGAAGTGCTCGGACACCCAGGCCGCGACCTCGTGCCCCATGGCCATGGCCTCGGGCACCGTGGGCACCCCCAGGCGGCACATGACCGAGTCCGTGTCCCCATAGATCACCTGGGGGGCAGAGAGACCCATAGGGACCCATAGGGACCCATAGGGATACACAGGGACCCATAGGGACCCATAGGGACATGACCGAGTCCGTGTCCCCATAGATCACCTGGGGGGCAGAGAGACCCATAGGGACCCATAGGGACCCATAGGGACACACAGGGACCCATAGGGACCCATAGGGACATGACCGAGTCCGTGTCCCCATAGATCACCTGGGGGGCAGAGAGACCCATAGGGACCCATAGGGACCCATAGGGACCCATAGGGACATGACCGAGTCCGTGTCCCCATAGATCACCTGGGGGGCAGAGAGACCCATAGGGACCCATAGGGACCCATAGGGATACACAGGGACCCATAGGGATACATAGGGACATGACAGAGTCCGTGTCCCACATAGTCCCCCAATAGCCCCCCATAGCCCCCCATAGCCCGCCCCATAGCCCCCCATAGCCCCCATAGCCCACCCCATAGCCCACCCCATAGCCCCCCATAGCCCCCATAGCCCCCCATAGCCCCCCATTGCCCCCCATAGCCCACCCCCTAGCCCACCCCATAGCCCCCCACAGCCCACCCCATACCCCGCCCCATATCCCCCCATAGCCCGCCCCATAGCCCACCCCATAGCCCACCCCATAGCCCCCCCATAGCCCCCATAGCCCACCCCATAGCCCACCCCATAGCCCACCCCATAGCCACCCATAGCCCCCATAGCCCGCCCCATAGCCCCCCATAGCCCCCCATAGACCACCCCATAGCCCCCATATCCCCCCATAGCCCCCATAGCCCACCCCATAGCCCCCCACAGCCCACCCCATATCCCGCCCCATATCCCCCCATAGTCCGCCCCATAGCCCCCATAGCCCACCCCATAGCCCGCCCCATAGCCCCCCATAGCCCGCCCCATAGCCCCCATAGCCCACCCCCATAGCCCCCCATAGCCCGCCCCATAGCCCACCCCATAGCCCGCCCCATAGCCCCCCATAGCCCACCCCATAGCCCACCCCATAGCCCGCCCCATAGCCCACCCCATAGCCCGCCCCATAGCCCCCCATAGCCCCCCATAGCCCACCCCATAGCCCCCCATAGCCCCCCATAGCCCCCATAGCCCCCCATAGCCCACCCCATAGCCCGCCCCATAGCCCCCATAGCCCCCCATAGCCCGCCCCCATATCCCCCCACAGCCCACCCCATAGCCCGCCCCATACCCCGCCCCATATCCCCCCATAGCCCACCCCATAGCCCGCCCCATAGCCCCCCAGCCCCACCTTGGCATCGGCCGGGAAGCCCTGGGCCAGGCAGTACCGGCTCTCCACCAGCTGCTTCGTGCGCTCGATCATCTGGCGCCCGAAGGCCGTCACGCTCTGGGGGGAGAGCGCTGCTATGGGGCGCTATGGGGCGCTATGGGGCTATGGGGCTATGGGGCTATGGGGGCTATGGGGGCTATGGGGGCTATGGGGGCTATGGGGGCTATGGGGCTATGGGGCGCTATGGGGCTATGGGGGCTATGGGGGCTATGGGGCTATGGGGGCTATGGGGCTATGGGGGCTATGGGGGCTATGGGGCTATGGGGGCTATGGGGCGCTATGGGGCTATGGGGGCTATGGGGGCTATGGGGCTATGGGGACTATGGGGCTATGGGGGCTATGGGGCTATGGGGGCTATGGGGGCTATGGGGGCTATGGGGGCTATGGCGCTATGGGGCTATGGGGGCTATGGGGCTATGGGGCACTATGGGGTGCTATGGGGCACTATGGGTGCTATGGGGCACTATGGGAGCTATGGGGGCTATGGGGCTCTACGGGTGCTATGGGGCGCTATGGGTGCTATGGGGTGCTATGGGTCTCTATGGGTCTCTATGGTTTCTATGGGTCTCTATGGGTCCCTATGGGTCCCTATGGGTCTCTATGGGTCTCTATGGGTCCCTATGTGTCTCTATGTGTCTCTATGGGTCTCTATGTGTCTCTATGGGTCCCTATGTGTCCCTATGTGTCTCTATGGTCCCTATGTGTCTCTATGGGTCCCTATGTGTCTCTATGGGTCTCTATGGGTCCCTATGGGTCCCTATGGTCCCTATGGTCTCTATGGGGCAGGCCTCACCTGGCTGACCTCCAGGCACGGCAGCCGCCCCGCCTGCGCCCCCGTGAAGCCGTACACGGAGTTGGCGCTGACCTTGAGCGCCCCCTGGCGGCCCTGCAGCACCTGGCACCGCCCCGCGTCCTGCTCCTGCGCCAGCGCCTGCTTCACCCTGCGGCCCCGCGGCCCATGGGGACACATAGAGACACATAGACCACAAGACCCATAGACCCCATAGACCCCATAGAGCCCACAGAGCCCCATAGAGCCCATAGAGACCCACAGAGACCCACAGACCCCACAGACCCCACAGACCCCATAGAGCCCAATAGAGACCCATAGACACCATAGAGCCCCATAGAGACCCACAGACCCCACAGACCCCATAGACCCCACAGACCCCATAGAGCCCATAGAGCCCCATAGACCCCACAGACCCCCATAGACCCCATAGACCCCACAGAGCCCCACAGACCCCATAGACCCTACAGACCCCATAGAGCCCCATAAGACCCCACAGACCCCATAGACCCCACAGACCCCACAGAGCCCCATAGACCCCACAGAGCCCCATAGACCCCATAGCGCCCCATAGACCCCATAGACCCCACAGACCCCACAGAGCCCCATAGACCCTACAGAGCCCCATAGACCCCATAGCACCCCATAGAACCCCATAGACCCCACAGAGCCCCATAGACCCCACAGACCCCATAGACCCCACAGACCCCACAGAGCCCCATAGACCCCACAGAGCCCCATAGACCCCATAGCACCCCATAGAACCCCATAGAGCCCACAGAGCCCCATAGAACCCCATAGCGCCCCATAGCCCCCACCTGCTCCGAGCTTCCAGCAGCCCCTCCAGCACCTTTGGGAGCAGCCCCCGGCGCACCTTGGAAGTGACAAAGAGCTCCCCCGAGGGCGTCCGGATGTAATCAGTGGGGCCCAGCCTGGGGACGGGATGTGGGGGGTGCGCTATGGGGTCTATGGGGTGTGTGCGCTGTGGGGTGTGCGCTATGGGGTGTGCGCTATGGGGTGGGCGCTATGGGGTCTATGGGGTGTGCGTGCTATGGGGTGGGCGCTATGGGGTGTGCGCTATGGGGTCTATGGGGTGTGTGCGCTGTGGGGTGTGCGCTATGGGGTGTGCGCTATGGGGTGGGCGCTATGGGGTCTATGGGGTGTGTGCTATGGGGTGTGCGCTATGGGGTCTATGGGGTGTGTGCTATGGGGTGTGCGCTATGGGGTGTGCGCTATGGGGTCTATGGGGTGTGCGCGCTATGGGGTGGGCGCTATGGGGTCTATGGGGTGTGTGCGCTATGGGGTGTGCGCTATGGGGTGTGCGCTATAGGGTCTATGGGGTGTGGGGTCTATGGGGTGTGGGGTCTATGGGGTGTGCGCTATGGGGTGTGCGCTATGGGGCGTGGGGTCTATGGGGTGTGCACTATGGGGTGGGCGCTATGGGGTGTGCGCTATGGGGTGTGGGGTCTATGGGGTGTGCGCTATGGGGGGTGCGCTATGGGGTGTGGGGTCTATGGGGTGTGCACTATGGGGTGTGCGCTATGGGGTGTGTGCTATGGGGTGTGCGCTATGGGGGGTGCACTATGGGGTGTGTGCTATGGGGGGTGCGCTATGGGGGTGCGCTATGGGGTGGGCACTATGGGGTCTATGGGGTGTGTGCTCTATGGGGTGTGCGCTATGGGGTGGGCGCTATGGGGTGTGCACTATGGGGTGTGGAGTCTATGGGGTGGGCGCTATGGGGTGTGCGCTATGGGGTGTGGGGTCTATGGGGTGGGCGCTATGGGGTGGGCGCTATGGGGCGTGGGGTCTATGGGGTGGGCACTATGGGGTGTGCTCTATGGGGTGTGGGGTCTATGGGGTGGGCGCTATGGGGTGTGCGCTATGGGGTGGGCGCTATGGGGTGTGCGCTATGGGGTGCGCGCTATGGGGTGGGCGCTATGGGGTGTGCGCTATGGGGTGGGCGCTATGGGGGGTGCGCTATGGGGGGGTGCGCTATGGGGTGTGCGCTATGGGGTGTGCGCTGTGGGGTGGGCACTGTGGGGGGTGTGCTATGGGGCACACGCTGTGGGGCGCACGCTATGGGTTGCGCACTATGGGGCACACGCTGTGGGGTGCACGCTATGGGTTGCACACTATGGGGCACACGCTGTGGGGTGCACGCTATGGGTTGCACACTATGGGGCACACGCTGTGGGGCGCGCTGTGGGGCACACACTCTAGGGCGCGCTGTGGGGCGCATGCTATGGGGCACGCTGTGGGGCACACACTCTAGGGCGTGCTGTGGGGCACATGCTGTGGGGTGCGCTGTGGGGCACACACTCTAGGGCGCGCTGTGGGGCGCATGCTATGGGGCGCGCGGTGGGGCACACGCTGTGGGTTGCGCTATGGGGCACACGCTGTGGGGCGCGCTGTGGGGCACACGCTATGGGGCACATGCTCTGGGTTGCGCTATGGGGCACACGCTGTGGGGCGTGCTGTGGGGCACACGCTCTGGGTTGCGCTATGGGGCACACGCTGTGGGGCGCGCTATGGGGCACACGCTATGGGGCACATGCTCTGGGTTGCGCTATGGGGCACACGCTGTGGGGCGCGCTGTGGGGCACACGCTCTGGGTTGCGCTATGGGGCACACGCTATGGGGCACACGCTCTGGGGCACATGCTGTGGGGCGTGCTGTGGGGCACACGCTCTGGGTTGCGCTCTGGGGCACACGCTGTGGGGCGCGCTATGGGGCACACGCTCTGGGGCACATGCTGTGGGGCGTGCTGTGGGGCACATGCTCTGGGTTGCGCTATGGGGCACACGCTCTGGGTTGCGCTATGGGGCGCGCTATGGGGCAGCCCCCCGGCCGTACCCGAAGCGCTGCACGCCCCCCGGCGGCAGCAGGGTGCTGTAGCACAGGTTGTGCGCCATCATGATGGACGGGTACAGGGAGCAGAAGTCCAGCGTCACGATGGGAACGTCGTAGTACCTGGGGGGCAGGGGGGCAATGGGGGCGATGGGGGGCAATGGGGGGTAATGGGGGTAATGAGGGTAAGGGGGCAGTGGGGGGCAATGGGGGTAATGGGGGCAATGGGGGGCAATAGCAGGGTGGGGGTATGGGGGGCAATGGGGTAATGGGGGTCAATGGGGGCTCAGCCCCACACTCACCCCTTGAGGGGCTCAATCACGGTGGCCCCTTCGTAGTCCTCGCCCCCTCGGCCTTCACCACCGGCATCAGCATGTCCTCGCTCATGGCCTGGCCCCACAGATGGGGGTCAGCGCCCCACATGTGGACCCACTGCCCCCATAGACAGCCCAATGCCCCATTGATAACACAGTGCCTCATTGATAACACAGTGCCCCATTGATAACCAATGCCCCATTGATAACACAGGGCCCCATTGATAACCAATGCCCCATTGATAACACAGGGCCCCATTGATATCCAATGCCCCATTGATAACCAATGCCCCATTGATAACACAGGGCTCCATTGATAACCAATGCCCCATTGATAACACAGGGCCCCATTGATAACCAGTGCCCCATTGATAACCAATGCCCCATTGATAACACAGGGCCCCATTGATAACCAATGCCCCATTGATAACACAGGGCCCCATTGATAACACAGTGCCCCATTGATAACACAGGGCCCCATTGATAACCAATGCCCCATTGATAACCAATGCCCCATTGATAACACAGGGCCCCACTGATAACCAATGCCCCACTGATAACACAGGGCTCCATTGATAACCAATGCCCCATTGATAACACAGGGCCCCATTGATAACCAATGCCCCACTGATAACCAATGCCCCATTGATAACACAGTGCCCCGCTGATACCCAGCCCCATAGCCCCCACACCCCACATCCTGCCCCATAAGCAAACCTGCCTCAGGAGCTGCGCCGCCACCTTGGCCTGCTGGCCGCGGGTCAGGATGGTGCTGAGCGGGACCCCATAGCCCCACACCCCACATCCTGCCCCACATCCAGCCCCACATCCCAGCCCCACATCCTGCCCCACATCCCGCCCCACATCCCACCTGCCGCAGGAGCTGCGCCGCCACCTTGGCCTGCTGGCCGCGGGTCAGGATGGTGCTGAGCGGGACCCCATAGCCCCACACCCCACATCCAGCCCCACATCCCAGCCCCACATCTTGCCCCACATCCCAGCCCCACATCCCAGCCCCACATCCCAGCCCCACATCCCGCCCCACATCCCAGCCCCACATCCCGCCCCACATCCCACCTGCCGCAGGAGCTGCGCCGCCACCTTGGCCTGCTGGCCGCGGGTCAGGATGGTGCTGAGCGGGACCCCATAGCCCCACACCCCACATCCCAGCCCCACACCCCAGCCCCACATCCAGCCCCACATCCCAGCCCCACATCCCAGCCCCACATCCAGCCCCACATCCAGCCCCACATCCCGCCCCACATCCCGCCCCACATCCCAGCCCCACATCCCAGCCCCACATCCAGCCCCACATCCTGCCCCACATCCTGCCCCACATCCAGCCCCACATCCAGCCCCACATCCCAGCCCCACATCCCGCCCCACATCCAGCCCCACATCCTGCCCCACATCCCGCCCCACATCCCGCCCCACATCCCAGCCCCACATCCCGCCCCACATCCCACCTGCCGCAGGAGCTGCGCCGCCACCTTGGCCTGCTGGCCGTGGGTCAGGATGGTGCTGAGCGGGACCCCATAGCCCCACACCCCACATCCAGCCCCACATCCCAGCCCCACATCCAGCCCCACATCCCGCCCCACATCCCAGCCCCACATCCAGCCCCACATCCCAGCCCCACATCCTGCCCCACATCCTGCCCCACATCCCGCCCCACATCCCACCTGCCGCAGGAGCTGCGCCGCCACCTTGGCCTGCTGGCCGCGGGTCAGGATGGTGCTGAGCGGGACCCCGCAGACCCCACACCCCACATCCCAGCCCCACATCCCAGCCCCACATCCCAGCCCCACATCCCAGCCCCACATCCCGCCCCACATCCCACCTGCCGCAGGAGCTGCGCCGCCACCTTGGCCTGCTGGCCGCGGGTCAGGATGGTGCTGAGCGGGACCCCATAGCCCCACACCCCACATCCAGCCCCACATCCCAGCCCCACATCTTGCCCCACATCCCAGCCCCACATCCCAGCCCCACATCCCAGCCCCACATCCCGCCCCACATCCCAGCCCCACATCCCGCCCCACATCCCACCTGCCGCAGGAGCTGCGCCGCCACCTTGGCCTGCTGGCCGCGGGTCAGGATGGTGCTGAGCGGGACCCCATAGCCCCACACCCCACATCCCAGCCCCACACCCCAGCCCCACATCCAGCCCCACATCCCAGCCCCACATCCCAGCCCCACATCCAGCCCCACATCCAGCCCCACATCCCGCCCCACATCCCGCCCCACATCCCAGCCCCACATCCCAGCCCCACATCCAGCCCCACATCCTGCCCCACATCCTGCCCCACATCCAGCCCCACATCCAGCCCCACATCCCAGCCCCACATCCCGCCCCACATCCAGCCCCACATCCTGCCCCACATCCCGCCCCACATCCCGCCCCACATCCCAGCCCCACATCCCGCCCCACATCCCACCTGCCGCAGGAGCTGCGCCGCCACCTTGGCCTGCTGGCCGTGGGTCAGGATGGTGCTGAGCGGGACCCCATAGCCCCACACCCCACATCCAGCCCCACATCCCAGCCCCACATCCAGCCCCACATCCCGCCCCACATCCCAGCCCCACATCCAGCCCCACATCCCAGCCCCACATCCTGCCCCACATCCTGCCCCCACATCCCGCCCCACATCCCACCTGCCGCAGGAGCTGCGCCGCCACCTTGGCCTGCTGGCCGCGGGTCAGGATGGTGCTGAGCGGGACCCCGCAGACCCCACACCA